AATATAATATAATAAATGTATAAATAGAATAAAAGTGGAAGATTTGGGAAGGAGAGGATGAGTTAATGGGAAGGAAGTGGTAGCTTGAGCAATGGTGGCAGATTCTATCTAGGACATCATTCACATTTGAAAAAATAACTAACAAATGTTCAAGGTCCGAAGCAGAGAGACACAGGCTCTTGAATAGTGCAAGGGAATAAATTTGCCAAGCAAGAAAGCACATCTCTCACTTTTTCATTCCTGTCACTGTCACTCCCATCCCACCATCATATCTGCTTGGCTTGGAGTTTATCTAGAAATCTTGGATGAAATTATTCTTGCAACTTTTTCATAATTGTTTATGCAAACTTAGAAGAGTATGAATAGTGTAAATTCAATCTTCCCTACATACCCAGTCATTGGCAGGCCCAGTGTAGACAATGGTGCAGCCAGGATCCACTCAAGATGATTTTGCCAGAGGAAAAAAAAGAAACTTTTTTCTTTGACAGTATTAGTCCCTTTGAAAAAAGGTAAATAAAAGGAGCTATTACCTAGATTATACTACAATTAAATGTGATGCACACTAAATTACAATATTATTTTTTGAAATAGGGTTTTTTTGGTAATTGAAGAAGACATATTTCAAATATGCTTGATGTTTGCTGTTTATGATTTGTTCTTAGCCTTTCGAGGTAATAAATCAAGAAAGAACATTTAATAAAATTTAAAAAATGAGAAACAGACACAAATTATCTAAAGATTTGATTAGTTCTCCTTCTCTAGAGTTCTCTAAGTCTACATGATGTCAGGGTAAAAATACAAATAGAGAAAACAAAGAGTGAAAGAGGACATTATCTGAGATTCAAAGTCTAGTTCATATCTGCTCCCCTGACTTTGAGGACACAAGAAGAGTGAGCCCAAACCCTAAAATAAACTTACTTCCTGACTTCCTGTGGTTTTCGAAGCTGATCAACAAGTTCAATGATCAATTTTCCCCCAACTTAGTCTCTAATTTACAGACAAATATTTATGAACTTTTTCTTAATGATTATGCAGTCATGTATGGATTAAATCCTATCAGTTTTCTTGTTTGAGAGTGAAAACACTGATACTCAGACCTCAGTCTGAGACTGAAAACACGACTACTTTAAGTCATAAGAGGTGATAAAAGGGTACCCTTTGTGACTGGTGACATTCAGCAATTGAGAAGAAGAAAATAAAAATAAAAAATAAAAAATAAAAATAAATTAATTAATTCCACCCCGAGGGACAGCGTACTGAGAATGGTGGCATAAGTGCAGATCTCCAACAGAAGGTGGTCCTCGACCAACCTAAAGAAGCTCCGCTAAGACTCCCCCTGCTTCCTCACAAACCCTGGGATGCTGAGACAGCGAGTAGGCTTGAATTGGCCTTCCAGAGATTAAAAGCCTTCTTCTCATAGCAAATACAAAAATGCAGAAAATAACCTTATATAAAATTGATAAGGTAATTTGGCACCCACAACCTTGATATTGAACAGAGACTTTGCTCTGTCGTATTTGAATATATTAACAGAAAGACCTAGCTTCTTGTGATTATGGCAACATGAATAATATATGATATTCATTGATATATTTGCAGCGTTGTGAACACTTAAGCCTTCCCGAGTACAAACGCTCCAGGCCCCATGGGTTGAAAAGAAAGGTGACCTTTCAGAGAAGGCTCGGTCATGAGACCCTCTCACCAATCCTGGACAGGAGAAACCATGCATTTGTCCCACTGGAGGGATTACGATTGCCCCAGCATGCAGAGCTCTGCACCTGGGACAAAAATACATTCAAACAGCAGATTTTTAGAGTCGAAGAAGTAAACACACTTGAAAAAATGGCATATATTTATAAAACTGGCTTATGACAGTGGCATTTGGGGTAATAGGGGCTAGTTCTAACTCTATATTTTTAGTGATCAGCACATACATGGAGCAGTCTATACATGAATTTGGTTAAAGACACAGGATATGATCAGCTTTCTCCTATTGGTATTAAAAGTTGATTGTCCAATTTAGTTGTTCATTGTGGGCTCAAGTTAATGGAAAGTCTTCAAGGGGCTTTTCTTTCAGATCACCCGATGTTAATACTGTCAACACATTAATCATCTTAATTAATAGTCATCTATTGTTCTTAGACCTCATCCTCAAGAGAGGCTCAGGGGCATCTCCCCCAGACGTGGCTATTCAGTGAGCAGATGGTGAGAGGCCCTGTGTTTGTCCCTTCGTTTGGGAGGCAAGGAGAAAAGATAGGCCTGAGAGCCTCTTGGAAAGAGACTGGAGGGAAGCTGTAGATGAGGGATTCTTCTATCACGTTGTAGAATGCTATATGTCCAGACTCATAGTCTAAGAACACACCAACCTTATGCACAGGCTCTCTGACATGTTGACCTTTTAAAGGTGATGAGACCCAAAGACTATAATCATCTCCAATTTTTAAGCCTATAAGTGAGAAGAGGTCCCCAGGTGGCTTTGGGAGATTTCCCTTTCTGCTCACAGAGTCCTTACAGATGCCCACTTCCCACTCAGTCTTGCACCCCACTTCCACCTCCCAGTAATGTCTCCCACAGGTGAAGCTCTGAGCACCCAACACAGTTGCAGACTGGTCAAATCTTTCTGGATTATCAGGTAACTGCTGTCGGATGCCTCCATATCTCACACTCTTCAGATCCTCAGATAAGACAAGATAGACATTCGCTGTGGCTGGATCAAGAGTTATATCTGCTACAAGAAAAGAAAAAAATGAATCTCTCTTTGCATTCTTTAAAACCCTCTTATATATGTTTATACATTAAATTCTTAGTATTTACTCCTATTTTAAAAATATAATTTAGGTGAGCATAGTGGGGATGTTTGTTGTGTTAGGAACAGCATCTCCTAGCCCTTCTCTAATTGTTTCACAAAACAGAGAGTAAATCTCTGAAAGGAAATAGAAGAGAATCATGAGTGATAGCCTGTCTGAGAGGGAGAGAGGAACCTCTGGTAATGGAATGGAAGTTGTTCTGCTCACAAGACAGTTTTAGGACTCAGAGCTCCTTATCCTCATAAGGTGTACCCTTTGGCATTTATATTTGCATTGGCCGAGGTTGGTTCTGGTTCTGCAGTTTAGGTGGGAGAGAAATAGAGGCTGTTATCATTTGCCAAGCTCCTACTTAGACACCAAGCACTGCACTCTACCTTTCCCAAGTATTTTTTTTTTTCTTGTTTTTATTAAAGAGAAAAATGATGTTCATAAAAGTTAAAAAACTGGACCAAGATTACAAAATTACTGAGTGCTTGAATAGCAATTTCTAACCAGCATTTGTCATTATGTCACACTTGCACGAGGCTTCACATGAGTTAGTGCAACCACCAGTGACCCTTTGATGAAGTGCATTATGAATCAGTGAGACCCTTTTTCCCACCCTCCTGAAAAGAGGTCACAGAAGAGAACTCCAACTTTCACAGACTCTTCAAATAAGATTAGGTACTCCTATCATACAATTTTAGATGTTTATTTATAGATCAAATCCCAATCATCACTAATTTTCTATGATTTACATCTCCCTAATTTCACTGAAATTCTATAAAAGCAAAGTCAAGTTTGTCTTATTTGTCATTGTAAGTATGCTCAGAGCCTAACAGCATAATGTCAGGCACATAGTAGACACTTATCAAATATCTGTTGAGTCCAAAACTTATTAGACCTTCCTCTGAAGTCAGATTGTCAAGATAAAAGTTAATAATTAATGCTGACCTACTTTGTTCTTAACCAGCTTAAAAATCTGGAGTATTCTAAAAGGCAGTTCTTTGAATGCTCCTGAACTGGGACTTAAGAGTTTGTCACTTTTATCCTGATAAAAATTAAAGTAGAAATGTAGAAACCCCTGAGGAGGTGTGTGCGTATATGTGCAAGGGGGTAGGATGGACAAAGCAGAACAATGAAAACAAACAAACCAAAGAAGGACCAGGACTCCTTAGAACACAAAGCCAGACAAGCATCAATCCAGCCACACTGCTTCTGTCTGCTCCATCACAGAGACAGTCTGTGGCCCAGCCTTCCCTGGTGTTTTCTGCTGGCTCAGAATGCCTTCACTGAGAGCCTGGTGCCCAGATGGTAAATATTCTGTTAGAAAAAGCTGCCTAAGGGCTCAGTTTTGCATCCCTTGATATATACTGAAGTTAACTTGGAACTGCTGGAGGTTTGACAAATCAGACTGACTTACTGCTGAATTTTCTTAGCATCTCCCTCATTCCGGTGATGCGGCACAGACTCAGTTCTGTGGTGGTGGCCTCTGGACACCGAAGCAAGAGCGCCTCACTCCTACAAGAGGGCAGAGACAGTCACACTGTCTCCTCTGCACAGACCACATGACCTGCTCCAACTTGAAAGCCCAGTCCATCTTGCCCCAGCGGCACAGACGCTCTCATCCTCAATCTGTCCCCAACCTATTTCATTAGTACCACATCCCTGTATCTGACATAACTAAACATGGAATGAAAACCTACCTTTTCAGTGTTTCTTTGACATCCTAAGGGTATAAAAGAAAGAAGGTTAGTATTTGTGCCCTTTGATCACTAGTGAAGACTAATTTATGTTGGATATAGTCCTTTGAAAAAATATCACAGTATCTGTTTCTCATGGTTCTAGAATACCTTGAATGGGAGAGCATATGGTAGAAAATAATTCCCTGCTTCTTCTAGGGTGAGTTATTGTGAACATGAGATGTTTTTCAAATGACTAGAGACTACTTTGTCTTTTTTTTTTTTTTCTCATAACTTTACTTTGTCCAGAGAACCTGTAACTGACAAAGGAGCCAGACTATTGGCTTCATTATCCAATGTTTCAGGGAGTCAGAGATGACTAGATAACCAAGAAATTAGCCAGTGAGAGCTGAGACTAAATCTGTGTACAGTTGGAGTGGGTTGTAGGAAAGGCACAAAGTTAAATAGTAGCATTCTGTGGAGCCAGTCCAGGAGAGAGGAGCTAGAGTTGGCTTATACAGTTTGAGAAGGTCTGGAGAATTCAGTAGTAGCCTATGATGGCAATAGAGCAAAGATGGTGAGGAACGTGGGCTCAGCACACAGATTCCTGGGTTCTACCACCTACAGCTATTTGACAGGCGCCTAACTTCCCTAGGTCTGAGTTATTAAATGAACATTACTAAAAAACCCATTTTGTAGATAACAATCCCTATAGTACATATCATAATAGTATTTAACTTCATCGGGTTTCTGCAAAGATGATATTTAATGTGCCCAGCCAAGTCAATGCCTACTAAACTTAAAATGTTTGACAAAGCTGAGGTTGCAGAGAGGCGGGTACAGAGGAAATTGGAGACAACATTAAGCTTGGTTTGGATAGGCATTCCTCTTTTTTTCTCTCCACCTTTTCAAGACTTTATTTATACTATACAGAATGTAATTTCTTTAGAAAAATTACTTTGGGACCATCACTTAGTTTTTTAGGTAAATAAATAAAAATCTATTTTATATAGCTTGAAATATTAATATACTACATATTTTCAATTAATTTTTCCAATATTCTTACCTCAAAAGATTCTATAATCAAGTTCTGGCACATGGACTCTATCTGTCCGATCATTTTACTTAGGTTTCTTATTTGCTGGGTCAGCTCGATCTCATTGTCCCTTAGTTTCTTCAGGTTCTCTCTTTCCTCCTTTTCCAGTAACTGGAGCTGCAGCTGCTCCTCCTCCTTCAGGAACTGGTGCATTTTTACGTATTCTGATGCAACTACCTGTTTACAAGTCTTTGTCTCTTCCTGCCATTACACATACACACACACACAATATAATAAAGTTAGTAACAGAAATGCCTATGTAGATTTTAATATTTATAAAGTCTTAGACTTTCACTGTGATAATTCTTGAAACTTGACACATAACATATATATTCTATTGACTAGCTGGGTGGATAATTTTATTTTTTAGGTGTGTGTCATATAGATACAATAATAAAAAAAGCCAAACTTTCTGTTCCCAGGAGGTTGTCATTCTAGTGGGAAAACCCAAAAATAAACAAAAAATATATTACAGGTGGTGATCAGTACCATAGTAAAATATAACCAAAATAAAATAAGGTCAAAAATTATGAAAAAAAAGTATCTGTTCATTTATTCAACAATGTTTTTTCAGTAAATGTAGGCATTGAATCACATACTAGAAAGAGCAACATACCTTACAAATGTACCTTTTAAGACCTCAAAGTTTACTGAAAGAATCAGATACATGAATATTTTTAAAATATTTAAACATGTATGAGTTTGCTTTGCTAAACAGCTTAAATTCAAATCTGTGACTAACCTCGAGCTCTCATTCAGGTATACCAATCCAAACCACTATTTTGCCTTTATTTCTTTCTCTTTATTATTTTTTTATTTGCACTCTCCACCTCCTCCACCCCCCGCCCCCTACCCCACCCTGGCCAGCCCCAAAGCATTTGAGATATCCTTTTTTTTTTTTAAATTTTCATCCTATGTTTTATGTCTATAAGTATAACTTGTATTTTAAATAATGATCATCACCGCCAAAATAGAGGTGGCACTAAGGTGTATAGGTGCACCAAAAAGGAGAAAAATAAGTTGGCCTGGGGATGGGGAAGCTGAGCTGAGTCTTGGGAGTCCAAAGTGGACAAGCAGAGGTAAGCAGCCCAAACCAGAGTACTGAGACTGAAAAAAATCTGTCTTTTTTCATACAGTAGGACTGAGACTGAAAAAAATCTGTCTTTTTTCTCTCGTATTTTACTAAGTATCACTTTAGTACCCCTTTCATAGAATCATATACGATATGCAAAAGTAAGATAGTTACTGACCTTACACAATATTACTCTCTCCTTCTCATGGGTTAATATAACCTGAGTTTCCTTTTTCTTTTTACGCAAAAGATTTAGGATTTTCTGGAGTTTCTCCTGAAATAGAAACAAACATTCTGTGGCAAATGAGCATCAGGTTGTAAAGAGGACTTGAGGACTAATAGCAACAAGATGACTCTAAAAGAAGGGGTAAAGCAAGATCCATGCTAAGTGTGTGATCTGGTGCCTGGAGATCAGTACCTACAACTGTCACCGATCAACAATATTATGGGTTAAGTGATGAAACTGATTTGTGTTCTGAGATTTATATTGAGCAGCTGATCTTACTTTGTGATGCTCCTCAGCCTCACTCGAGAGATACACTCTGTTTAATCCATGGCACTGGGTTGAGAAAGCGTTTACACCCTGCTCATCATCCGGGGACACGTTAGCGGCTGCCAGCATTCTCTCACAGGGGCCTTGTTTGCCCTCATTCTGTAGCACCTGGGATCTGAGTTGCTTGCCGATGCCAGCCAGCCTCCCCAAACGCTCGTTGGGCTGGAAATGAGGGACCTCCAAGGTCCTCCAGCACTCAGGACAAGATAAAGGAGTGTTATGTTTCTCCCAGCTCCTCAGGAGACACATCAGACAAAAGCTGTGCCCACAGTCAGTGGTTACTGGGCTGGTGAAATAGTCCAAGCAGATGAAACATGTCAGTTCTTCCCTGAGATTCTCCATCAGATCTGTTGTAGACATTTTCTCTAAGATGGCTATCAAGGCAAGATCATGCCTCTATTCTGGAATTAATAAAATCCTCTCTAAGGTTCTACTGTTTCAAGTAACAGTCAAGTGATCAATTGCTATGTTGTTAGTATAAAAAACTCTTACTCTCCTCTGTGCCTGATTTTACCAATTGACATATACTCTCCCGACACAAAGCCAATTATGACTTAATGTGGAACTCCTGTACACTGGTTTGGGTTCATCATCAACCCCAAACTTTTAAGGAATCTCTCACTGTGTAAGCCACATGCTGGAACATACTTGCTCTTAGTAGAGTTTTTATTTTGAGTTAGTTAGTGTATATTAACAGCACCACAGAACCATTAATTTTAGACTGGAAGTTGAGATAATTTGGTGTAAGCCAGTAAAGAGATTTAAATTATGATGATCTCTAATAATATCTGAATTGAATGTATGGTCCAAATCTTTTGGAAAACTTCACTAAGAGAATCTAGTTGAGAAACTGAAGAAAGAAAACTGTAATATATATGCCTTTTATCATTAGATTTTGTGTGTGTGTTTGACCAAAGTTTAAAAGCTTCTTCTCCTTTACCAGGTACTGTGTCCTTTTAGTTACCCCGATTTATTGAAGTATTCCCTGACTTTGGATGTACAATGAATTACCAGAATTATATTTATTGCTCTGCCTTAAAGACCATGGTACTCACCTCTCGGCCACTACAGAAAGCATATAAAACATCATTCTTGTTGGAAGTTGCCTCAAGAGGCTATTACACTATAGAGTGAATGGACAGAATTATATTTTAGTATAAATATAATTTTGCTCACTTATTTTCACTCTTTGAAAATGTCTAGGCTAGGCCTTCTTAAACCCCTCTTTATTATTTCCAGACAGAAATTAAATGTAGACATTATTTTTAGACCCATAAAAATATAAATGTATAGCATGGAGACTGTGTACAATGACCACTGAGATTAGTGCCAAGACTTATAATTTACTACACCATATACTAATGAATCAGTTCTTGTCTTGGCCCATGCTTTATTCACTGTATGCCAGAAAGTGAGACCTTAAAAGCTCTTCCTCAGAGTCTAACCAGTTCTACAATAACCCCCACCCCCAAATAAGTTCATCATACTTTATTTCTGTTTTCACCCTGTCACTCTCTAGCTTGGCAACTTTGAATGGGTCTCTATTAACCATGTTATTCCGTTAATTACTTTCCAACTTTCAAAGTCCCAAATGATCCTTCTTTCCCACTTATCTCCAACAGGATGTTGGGTGTTTTCTTACCTTGAACTTTAGTAAAAAGTTTTCTGACCTAAAATGTTTCTTCCTCCACTTTCTTTCCTCCCAGTTAAAACATCTTTCTGAAGTAATTAATTCTAAAATTTTTAATCATGTCTTGTATATAGCATTTGTGAATTACTAGGATGATAATTTATTCTAAAAAAAGAAACAAGCAGATTTAAGAGTTATACTAGTTTAAATAGGAAGAAAGGTAACATCAGTTAGAGGTCACAAAACCTCTGCTGCTTTGATAGATTATAGGTTAGTAACTGGGGCAGAGCTTCAAAATATTAGAGGTTAGTCTTAAGTAAAGATCTTGTAAAAAAAAAAAAATCTGCATTAACACTAACTGCCTTCATTGGAACAAGGGATTTATGAACTACAAACTATATTCAGTGTATTATTCCCACACAAACCCAGAAAGAATCTTTAACATTGACCAAGTTCATTAGAATAAGCCTTACAGAGGAGCTCTGGTACATCACAGAACCTGTATTCCAATTTGGAATGGGGACACTAGCATGTTCTACATTCACATCTCATTGATCTGTTCCATTCCATCTCCTTCTTCAAAATAAACTCCTTTTATTTCTAGATTTCTGTCTTTGACATCACTGATCCTTTCTTCCATTTAGTCGACTCTATTTCCCAAGTTGGCTATTTCATTCTTCAACTCTTATAGTGTGTTCTTCATCTCCAGAAGTTCTTTGGTTCTTTTTGAGGGTTTTAATCTCTTTGCTCTGCTCGTTTAGGTGTTTTTTCAATTCCTGAAATTGTTGTTATGACTCATTTCGGAATTTGCCAAGTTTTTTCAGAAGTACCATCCTGAATTCTCTGTCATTTAAATTGCATATTTATGTCTATAAGCTTATTTTCTGGAGATTTTTCTCCTTTCTGAGATGCCTTGTCAACTAGATGTCTTGTCCCATGGTATTTAATGGACTATTTCTCTGCCTGGGCATTAATGGAAATGTATTCTGCTTTTTTTTCCAGAAAAAAAGATTTATTATATAAAGGTCTCTCTTTAGCCTGCTGCAAAGAAGGCGCTTTTCTTTGGGTTTCCAGTAGGTGGCGTCTAAGCCTCTTATATCCCTGTTTTATATAAAGCCTTA